TCCTCTTAGTTAGCAATGACCTATTCTCCTCTAACTTAAGAGTTCTCATCTACTTATGTATTATTGATATTTGTTTATTGTATATGGTCCCAACATAGACTGTGTTGAGTCTTTATATCTACATCTCTTCTATCTTTTAGACAGTCCTCTGCACATAAGTACTTAATAATTGTCTGTTGAACTCAATTTCAAAGTTTTCTAGTTGTCTGATAATTAGAAATTCTGTTTTAGAATGGAAAGATAAGAAAATAAAGATCTATTAGTAAATACAAAAAATTTGTAGTTTAGGAGTTATAATATACAAGACAGTTGTACAAAGTAGTGTTCTATTACTGCTAAATAATCTGTAAACATATTAGTTTTTCTGGTGATAATTTGACTATGAGGGAACATGGCTTAGTAAAAAGAACGTAACCTGAGTTAAAGTCCCCTTCCATCACAGTTCCATCATTTAAGGGCTTGGTGTCCTTCACAACTAACTCTAACCCAGCGAAAATGAGCATGATCTTTCAGGGGAGGAGATGGCTATTCAATGAAATAGGGAACTTCCAAACCTTCCTGATAAAAAGACCAGAGCTCAACAGAAAATTTGATCTTCAAATACAAGACTCAAGAGAGACATAAATAAACGGGACAGAAAGAAACAACATGTTACTAATAAGGGCAACCTGTTTACATCCCTACAAAGGAAGATGACACTTGTAACCCTTGAGCTATATTGTTATTACACTATGTTAAAGGGGCTGTATACATAAAGGGGGTGGGTATAAGTTGACTTTGACGTAATGATAAAAAAAAAATCTAATCAAGTGGGTTAAATGGATCCAAGTAAGTGGATTAATCTGATCTAACTAAGAAAATGTACTGAGAGAAAAAGAAAGTAGGAGGCAGACAAGGGTAAATTACATTACAGGAAAAGGCACAAAAACCTATTACAGCAGAGGGAAAGAAGGGAAGGAGAAATGAGCATTGTTTGAACCTTACTCATCAGATTTGGCTCAAGAAGGGAATACCATAATCAGTTAGGTACTAATATTGATAGACTTAACCTTTTTCAGTAATACAAAGATCTAAGACATCTCCAAAGGCCTCATGATAAGAAAATGCTATCCACATCCAAAGAAAGAACTATGGAGGTTGAATGCAGATCAAAGCATACTATTTGCTATTTTTTTTCTTCTGTTGTGTTTTGTTTCCTCTTTCTGGTGTTTCCTCCCATTGGTTCTAATTCTTAATTACAACATCACTAACAGGAAAATATGTTTAATAGGAACATACATGTATAGCCTATACCAGATTGTGCACCATCTTGGGGAGGGAGGTAAGAAAGGAGAGGGAGAAAAATTTAAAACTCAAAAGCTTATGGAAGTGATTGTTGATAAATCAAAATAATTTAAAAAAAAAGAAAAACTATGGAATAAAATTTTTAAAAAAGTAGTCACAAAAAATGAAAAAAAGAAAGAAAAAAACTAACTCTAAGACTAAGTTGCAGAACAACTGCAGATCTGTGCTATAAAGGGAGCCCATTACAATGACGGCTTCACAGATATGGACCCTCCAAAAAATAAAGTCTGAAAGAAGAACAAGATGACTGATAAGCAACTCCCAGTTCCTTTTGGAATTATAACTAACTTAATCAATGATCAATGTTTATCAAACATCAGATTATTTACTAATGACTAATACTTTGAGGTATCCAGAAGACAGAATGTCAGTATCAGAAAAGAAAAATGTTGGAGAGATATTGTCATTATATATAATCATAAATCTTTAGGAGTGAAATAAGAACAGAAATTCAATACATAAGCTTAAAATGCTTGCATAACAATAAAATAATTAATAATAATAATAAAAAATTAGCACTTTTTGCTGTGCCAAGTTTATTTTGATTGTCAATAAATTAATCATTCCTAAAAAGGTACATGACAATGAGATGCTTACATACACTTTCCTTTTCTTGTTCAACCCTTAACTATTCCATAATTCTTAAAAGGTTTCAGGACGCCACCCTAGTACAAAGTGAATGTCGACTGGATTATAGATATCTCCATAACAACTTTTCAAAAGAAATCAGAACCAATACTCCATCTTAATTTCACTTTAAGCAATTACTAATTACTACCATTTGGGTAATACCTGTTACTACTAGGCACTATGATAACTATGTTTGAGGTGATTTTGCTTAAGTTTTCAAGGAATGTACTGAGGAAGAAAGACCATGTCTGTTCGAATGTATGCAGTATCAAAATACAACTCATAAACTAAAAACATTAAATAAGCACAAAGAAAAATATTACATATATCCTAAATCCATAATATTAAAAGTTATTTTCAGCTACCATACAATGATTATAAAACTAGCATTTGTCAAGGTACCTGCTATGTAAAAGCACTGCTCTTCATGCAAAGGAAACCAAGACCAAAACCAAATAATAGGCTCTACTCTCAAGGAGATTACATTCCACTGGTTTGGGAGGGGTAGAGGGAATAAAAAAATATATATACAGATAAGTAAAAGCAAAGCTATCTAGGAAGGGAGACAACAATGAAAACTGAAGGAGATTAGGGAAGACCTCACAGAAAAAAGAAGCAACAGAGCTAAGTCTCAGAGGAAGAATGCTAAGAGGAAGGAATATGAGTAAGAAATCCTAGGCCCACGAGATAAACAAACAGTATGTAATGCAGAGATAAAATGCCAAGTTTGGCTGGATTTTAATACATATGAAGGTGAACAGCATGAGTAAGTCTTGGAAGGTAGGATGGAGTCAGACTGTGGAGGGGCCTTAAACGGAGGGGTTAAAGAGTTGATATCTTGTCAAGGAGTGGGACTTTACTTTTTTTTTTTATGTCATGCACACCTTTGCTTAAGGCTATGGACCTCTTCTCAGAATATTTATTGCCTATATTCATAATGAATTTCATAAAGAAAATATCAAATTTCAGTTAAAGGTTAGTGAAAATAAAGATGTAATTTTCCCCCATTCAAATTCATAGACTCCCTAAAATATGCCCACATATCCCAAGTTAAGAAGCCATTCTAGACACAATAGGGAGATACTGAAGGCTTTCAAACAGGGAAGCAACAAGGTCAGAAAATGATTTGAACAGTTTGTGGAGAATGAAAGGAGTGAGAAAGCAGACTGCAAAGGGTTAAGAAGTGGGCAAGTAGAGGTAGCCTGTGTAGAAGACCTTCATAAGTTTGGCTGTGAAAGGGAGAAGAAACAGAAGATAGGTGGAGGAAAGTGGAAAGTAAAATGATGAGGGAGATTTGAGTGTGTTTGTAATAAATGAGAATTTGACCATGCCTTTCAAAACTGCTTATTTCTAGGTGGTTACAGAACTTGAATATATTATTATGATATTAATGTTGAAATATATGGGAGATTCAGCACTACCAGGAAACTCGAGCTTTAGCACTGGTTTTACAACCAAATAATGCATGACTGGAAGAGTTAATTCCTTAAGCTTTGATTACCTCGTATTATAAAAACTGGAATCATACTTGCATTCCAAAAAACTTACAATTTTCCAGATAACATCCTGGTAAAGTAGCACTGACCTACTAATTCTCAAAATATTAATATCTGTGCTACAGGTAAAATTCCATTTTAGAAAATTTCAAAGAATTTGTTCTACTTAAATGAAAACCTAAACATAGGAAGGTGTGTTTACTCTTTAAAAAATGCGTTTACATAACATATACACTTTATTTGCAATCTTCACCTTCGAAGGAGTTCTATGTAGTAGGATACTTTCTTCTGGTCTCTTGGAATACTGGGTATCTGAGTATAAATGAAGAATAGCTGAAACCAGTGGTTCACAAAAAAGGTAAAATGTTTTCATATGTACTGTCTGCTTTAAACACATCATCATTATTTAGGTTCTGTGCTTCATTCCCAGATCATATCCTCCTCTTCCTACCCGTCTAATCACTAATCTCTATGATTCTTCAGCCTCTTCTTCCTCCAAACTCTATTGTTCTTCATTCCCACTGTGTCTGCTGTCTCATTCTCCTACTCATTTCTTTCACTCTGTACCCTGCTAAGACTAGACCTGAGCTACAAATGCAGTTATTAAAAAAGCTGAATCAAAAGTATTTATATTCAAAATGCTGACACAGAGACAAGAACTTACACCACTGAGGAAAAGCATATCTTTTAGTTGTCAGAAATATGGTGGCACCACCCTTTCATCCCTTTAGCATAATTTACATATATTGTTAAATCTCAATGGAAAAAAAAAAGCACCTGAAACACTAACCTGATCCCAAGATGCTCACTATGTTATATAATAGCCTAAGATGATGACCATTTATTCTCTAAACATGAAACAAGTGGTAGCAAGTATGGATAGAGTTACTGCCTATGACAATATACAGTTTTGCTAAACTGCCTTCTTTCTTTTTTATTTTTTGCTAAAAGAGGTAGTCCTCTTGGTAAGGTAGAGAGATTTACATTTGGAAATCAATGTGATAGGACAATAAAAGACAAAATTAAAAATTTTTTGAAACAATATAAATTTTTTGTCTCAACACTTTCAAACCATCTCTAATATTTTTTCCTACATGTATCCTAAGTTCTCTTAGTTCTAAGCTGTTTTAAAAACTAGAATCTATATAATATGTGGATAGACTACATAAACCTTTAACATCACAGAAAGGTATATGAGAAATATTGGAAAAATACCTCTTTCCCTTAATTATATATCCCAAAATTATGTTAGATTTCAATGATTAGCATGAGATTTAAAGTTCACCTTTCAATTTCACAGAATAACATAATAAACTATTATAAGAAAACAGCTTTCTCTGAACAAAAAGTATTCATTCACTTCTAAACTTTAACAGACCCTTTTCAGATTATGACTGATACTCCCTGGTGGTCCTCCTGAAACCCTTTAACTCTTCTAATACCACCAGCAATTACAGAAGTTACAGAGTTCAAAAAGTTTGTAGCACAGACATTTTAAGGGTAAAATATTTATTCAAAAAGTGAACTCACCGTAATGACAGCCTTGCTGAGACAGATAGATCCCCGACATCCATACTCTGTCTCATCCTCAGACTTGTAGTAACTCAGAGTGTTATTTTTCAAAACTACCCAACGATCCTGCCAGCCATGAATGTAGTTTGTCCACTAAGGGAGAAAAGAAAAAAAAAAAATACACCTGAATTTAATATTCAAGACCAGTTTACTGAACTAGTAGCTAATTTAAATTTTTACAGCAATGATTAAATCAAATCCCTGTCCTCAATAGCTTTTAAATCAATAAAAAAAAATAAGAACACAAAACAAAAATTACTTATGAAAGCCAGAAAGTGGGAAATTCTTAATAATTTTCAGATTTTATAATATCTTTATGTTCACTTGTGGCATAATTAACAATGTAAGATACACAAACTTTCCCTCCACTCCAGGATATGTAAGGACATGCCAAAAAAGCACCTAACAGGTACTAGGCCCATGTAAACTACATCTCAGGGTACCAAAAGGACTGGCAGGTGATTACTGAATCACTGTCAGTGATCTTTAAAAAATAATGACATATAAAAGACTTGGTGCTATACGAGTAAAAGGCAGAAATGTCCAAATTTTCAAGAAGAAAGGAGCAAATGGCATCTTTAAACTCTAAGCCAGTGCTTAGGAGTAGTACACTAACACACTCAACCTATTTTAGATTTTAGCAAAGATTTTAACAAAGTAATAAAAATCTCTAGTACTATTCCTATAGAAAACATGGGGATCTGTGCGTTAAAAGATACTACAATTAGGGAGATATCAAACTGGCTGAATTATAGACTTGGAAGGAAACACTCTAGGGTCTCAGCCCTGTGCCTTTCAACCTTTTAAAAAATCAATGATATGATTAACCTGGGAAGGACTGCTAACAGAACAGATAACTGAGACAGGATCCAAAAGATCTCAGTGGACCAGAATGTTGGGTTGAATCTAATGAGATGAAATCTAGTAGGGAAAAATGTAAAGTCTTTATACTTAACGTTAAAAAAAAAAAAAAAAAAAACTTCACAAGCACATGTTGTGGAATGAATGGCTAGAGAGCAATCTATCTGAAAAAGATCTGGGGGTTTTCATGAATTGCAAACTAAATATAAATCAGTATGACATGGAAGCCAAAAGTACTAAAAGGATCCTAGGCTACATTGAGAAGCATGGCCTCCAGGAAAAGGGAAAACATAATCCTGCTATACTCTGCCCTGGATTAGGACCACATCTAGAATAATGTGTTTTACTTCTGGACATCACATTTTAGGAAGGACATTAACAAACAGAGGGCAATTATAACATGTCAGAAGATCTGAAGGAACTGGAGATATTTAGCATGAAGAGAAGAATTAAAGTAGACACGAAAGCTGTTTTCAACTACTGGAAGGGATACAAAATGGATCAGGCTTATTCTGCTTGGCCACAAAGGGCAGAACCAGGAGCAACAAATGGGTTGAAAGTTGTAGCTGCAGGTTTTTAGATTAACTGTGAGGAAGTATTTCCTTCCCATTATAGCGATCCAGATGAAAGGGGAGAAGAGTGAGAGATGCGAGTTTGGGTTCCTCATGGGTTTCCACTAAATAGTAGTTTTGCAACAAAGGCTAAGAATGGTTCTCGGATACATCGAAGAAGGGATTCTTGTTCACATGTAAGTGAATTAGGTTCAGAGAAAAAGAAGGAAGGGTTCTTCCAGATATCTTAGGGGTCCCCTGAGTCCTCGTCCCTCATTTTAGAGAGGGTATTACTTGGCTAAAATCACATAGACTATAGGTGGCAAAGTTCAGATTTGAACCCAGGTCCTCTGACTCCAAATCTGGTGCTCTTACCACACAAGTCTAAGGTCTCTTTCAACTAAGATTCTGTATTTCACTGTCTAAATGAATTCTCCTAAACCAGCTTTACTCCTCTTAAAGACAAACAGGAAGAAAACTGGCCTGAAGCAGAGACTTTTGGTACTAATGCAGCTTCTCTACTGTTCCTTAAGTTCCCATTGCAGAACTCCCTTGATTCTTTTATTTGGGTACCTTCATCCTCCCAATGTTTCTTCTCTCTTCTTCTTTCCTGCCTCATTCCTTACTGATTGTAATTCTTTATAATTATATATTATACATTATATATATAAAGATATATATATTATATATATATATACACACACATATATCTTTATAATTCTTTATAATGAACATTTCCAGGGGGCTTGAAGTAGAAAAAGTCATGGCCACACAGGCAAAACAAGTTTGCTTAAATATTTTTCTCCTAATTTCTTATTATCTCATTTAACACCAATATTTCACCATCTGGACTGACACCTATTTCAAGTCTAATTCATCGTAATAATCCAAAATAACGGTATTTGTGATTTAAAAAATTAACTCCACTAGTGATGTCATTGGTATAAGGAACTACAGCAACAAAACTAATTATTCTTAAGAATCCAGCCTCGGGCACTGAAAAACAAATGCCTAGTTGCAGGTTACAGTCAATAGGTATCAGAGGCATAACTTGACTAAGTCATCCTGACTCTGAGACCAACTTTCTCCACTATTCCATGCTTCTCATATTTGTTACATCCAAGTAATTTACAAATTAAATGTTACTACAATAATGACTCATAACACAAAGATCTGAAACTACAAATGAGTGAAAGCCCAGTAATCTAAAGTGGCTACAAAGAATTTTTATACTTTATATTTTTAAGAGAATAAAAAGAATTCAGTACTACATTTAGAGAATGGGTAGCTAATTTTACAAGTTGAAAGTGTATTTTTTTTAATCAAGAACAATGAGTAGAGAATTTTTTACAAGCATACTTCAGCTGCTTCCAGCACTTGTCTTTTCCATAGCTATAACTGCCTTTTGGAGGCACAAGGTTTTTACATAACAGTAAGTTATAGGTACATTAAGTAAAATCACAAAAATTAAAGCAGATTCATTAACTGAACTGTTAAAATCCTTTCCTATTTTCAACTTCTTCCAACTTTTTAAATGACTCCATGCTCTCCTGACTTTTCCGTATAGTACTTAAACTCACAGCTTTAACTATCATATCTAAACTGATTAACCTCCAAAACAAAACCTGTCTTTCCAGCCCCATCTATGATCTATCATCCAAGCTCTAGTTCCACAGATTGCTAAATGCCTCCTTAGTACTGAGTTTGAAACTCAAACGGGCATCAAAGCATAAATATTCTATTAATTCCCCTCCCTTCCCCACTCCACCCCACCTCTGGTAAAAAAAAAACAAACAAACAAAACAAAACAAAACAAAACAATTTCTATACTTTTCTGTTAACAATACCATGATTCTCCCAGTTACTCATAGTTAAAATTTCTGAATCATATTTGACTCCTCTTGATCCCTTAATACTAAGTCACCAAGTCAGTTCAATTAACATTAAGTGTTTATGTGTAAGCAGCAGAGGTCTGAAAGTTGAAATAACACAAGCCTTGCCCTAAGGAAACTCAAACAATAAATACAGGAGATAGCACATAATGCAAATAACTGTAACACAAAGCAGCACAAATGCAAGTGAGATCCAGAAAAAATGCTTGCAAAAATATAATGGGGTGTTGGGGGTAGGTGGCAGGAGTAGGTTGAGGGAAAACACAATAGAAGGCAAGATCCCTGAAGGTGAAGAATGTTTCCCTTTTTTGTCTTTGTATCCCTAGCAATGACCATACACTAAGTGCCTAATAAATGCAGACTTGTGTGGAGAAGGTTGCAACTAAGCAGACCCTTTCACACAGGTGAAAGGGGCTCCATTCTAGTCATGAAGTGGAGTCAGCAAGGTGAGTACAGGCACAGAGCCAGGATAGGGAAGGAACAAGGTACAGGGGTGGTAAAGAGTAATATAGTTTTGCCAAACCATAGAAAATGTGAAGTAATTTGAAATAGGACTGGAAAGGTAAACTGGAGTCAGATTGTGGAAGTCTTTGAATGTATTTATAAGAATATATTTATACATTATTTAGTAGGCAACAGGGCATCACTGAAAATTCTAATCAAAGGAATGATGTGATTGGAATTTTTTTTTTTTAATTACTTAGGAAACTGTGAAGAATGGACTGGAAAATGTGAGGGGTTGAAAAGAGAGGGACCTGACTCTGGAGTTAGAAGATATTAGTTCAAATTCTGTCTCTGTTTACTACCATATGTAACCTTGGGCAAGTCACAATCTCCCTGACCTTAAGATTCTTCATCTGTAAGGTAAGAGATGGTCTCAGAGGTTTCTTCTAACTCTAAATCTATGATCAGATGAAAAGGCAGGAAGTACATGGAGAAAGAAGGCTATTAAAATAACCCAGAGGGAAAAATGCTGAAACCTGGACTTAGGTGGCTACAGTGGAAAAGAAGAAAATAAATCTAAAAGGTTAACAAAAGGGTAGAATCTATAGTGCTTGGGAAATGACTAGAGTGCACCATGTACGTAACTTCCTCACTTAGTAGAATCCTTAGCTCCATTTAAAGCACATCACCTCCTACACAAAGCCTTCTCCATCCTTGCAGCTATTAGTATTCTTTTTTTTTAAAAGCTATTTTCTAACTAACTTTACATTTACTTATCTACATGTCATATTCTGCCCTCCCCCCCAAGAAGCTCCTTGAAAGTAGGGACCATTTTGTTTGTCTCCCCAACACCTTGCACGTGATTATGTAATGCTACACAGACTTGATCTTGAATACCACTACCAAAGAAATCTTTTAAAAACACTTTCTTATATACTACTTAAAAAACCAAATTGCCTAGAGAATCAAGTTCAGACTTCCCACTCTAGCATTTAATATCCTTCATAATCAAACTCTATCTTATTTATCCAACCTTTTCTCCTCACTTTCTACTCCTGTCTTCTCTGTTCAGTCAGATTGCAACACCTTCCAACTTAATTTCTGCCAAACTAGATCTCACCTACTGTTCAAAGCAAATTCCACCTCATAAGTTTCCTGAATGTCACATAATGATGACCTCATATGGTGTTCCACACATAAAGCCACTGTTTGTTTCTCCTGTCTCCCCCAGCAAATCTATCAGTTTCCTGGAGGCACAGAACATATCTACTTTTTATAACCTGTATATCACCTAAAAAAGTTTAAGTCACATAGTGCATACTTCAAATACTTTTTGAATAGTACCTCTTCCACAAATTCCTTCTGAGGTAAACTGCAGTCTACACAAACCACAAACTCAAATAATATAACTCACCTAGTTTTACAAATGTATTTACTAAATCCCAAACTTCTGGGATGACAACTTTATACTACTGAAAATCCCCACTGTACTTCACAGATATAGAGATATTCATTACAACTGTTAACAATCAGAATTACTGTTGGGAGAGTCAGGCATGTAAAACTATATCCTTGTTAAAATATTTCAAAACCTGCTTAAGGAAATTACCTACAATTTCATGAGAAATGTGCTTTCTTGACAGCTAACCTAAGTGCAGTTTCATTCCATACACTTTCAAGGCAATACAAGGTAGTTTAGGACTGTACTGGGCAAGGGGTTAGAAAACCTGGGTTCTACTACTGTTGTTCTACTTAGTAGCTCCCTGATCCTGAACAAATCAATGTGTTTGACCCCCATTTCTCCCTCTGTAAAATCAGAAGGCTAGAACTCTCCTGAGCCCCTTCCATATCTAACATTCAATGCCTCAATTTGAAAATGAAGATTTTTAAGGCCTTAATTTCTAAAATTTAAAAACTGAACCTTATATTTAGAAAAAGGTACAAAAGGTTGTAAGAATTTTCTCTCAGTTTACAAAAGAGTGTGGGGGGTGCTGAAATCATTAAAATCATTTGTACATTTCACTTTGTTAAGTACTTAAAACTAGGTAACCCTTCTAATCTAGATAAAGTAGGCAGTAGTTCGGAGGTTTGTGTCCTGAGAGAGTAACCACAATCAATTGTAACTGTGGATGCAAAGTAGGATATACAGTTGTTTAGAGAGATGTATATAGATATTTGTGTGTTTGTACATACATGGTGGAGATTCTGCCTAGAAATATATTTTCATCTCATGGAATGAAATAATGTGAATATACTGCTGACCACTTTTATTAAGATCAGAAAAGTTATCAAACACTATCAACATTTTAAGAATCACATTCTTCTACTCACATGAAATTGAACATGAGTTCCTTGTGATCAGGGACTTTTTCATTTTTGTTTTTGTATCCTCAGCACAATACCTGATAAATAGTAAGTGCTTAATAAATGCTTACTGACTGCTGGGAAACATTGGTTGTTATTATTCAAATACTCCAGTAGTCAAAATAAAGTTTTTCCAAAGCATATTCAACTTAAACTGTGCTCAAAAACATATATTCAAAGCAAATTCCTGAGATGAGAGATCCAAGAATCTGTTCCACGTATCCTTAAGTGTTGTGGCAAGGTTAAGACTCAAGAAACTTTCAATTGTCCCAATACGAGATATTATATTTAGTACGTCAGGACTTCTATCTCCCTTTCTAAACCTCTTTCACTTTAATCCATCTAGTGTAAAGATAACGTTAAGTACAAGTACCCCATGAAATAATTCCACAAACCAGGTCCAAATGGTTAACCAAAACTATGAACTATTGGAAGTACTGTGGATTTCTTAACACTCAAGGGCTGCACATGACCTAGTATCTCATGACTAGTATGACAAGTACTAGCTCGAGTCCTCTCTCTCGAGGCTGATGGGAAGACAAATTTAGTAATTAATACATATACATAGATATATATGTATATATATGCATATACAAACATATATATCTTATTAAATGGTGGAGACTTCACATACACACAAATATACTTAAATCAATACTGCCAGGGCAGAATGGCACTTCACTCCTCTCTAGAAGTCTCCACCATTTAATAAGCAGTTAGGTCTTTTAACTCTTTACTCAGTCACAAATTTCGAATGGGGGGAAGGGATCACTTCCCTAGCAGTCACTTTTACCAGGAGTGACCCTAGATCATACTGACCATTAGAAAAGATTTAAGAGATCCTGGAAGAGTCGGGATCACTCTTCCCAATCCTTCTCCTCTCCGACCCCTAAGCTAAAGAATTTATTGCTAAGCATTTCTTCCTGAACTTAAAGGTCGGGCTCCTGTCTGACGTGTCCCAGGTGATTATGAATGTTTCTCTTGTGTCTGTCACGTGTACACGGAAAAGCTCGATACTCGGGAAGGGTAGCAGGGGAGAAGACGTTTCAGGATTCTCCGGAATTCATTCTGCCTCGGACTAACCTGGAAACCCCCCCACCCCCGCCTCGGGTTCGGCCGGGGCAGGGGCGGCGCAGGCTTCCAGCCAAAGCGCGCCCCGCCCCCGGGCCCACACCTCCGCGCCTCCGAGCCCCTTCCTCCGAGCTCCTTCCCCCGGCCCTTAGCACGACACCTCCCGACGTTGTGGGGGTGCGGCAGTAGCCCCCCAGCCCCCGCTGGCGACGTTCCCTCAAGTCGGCTCAGCTGCTGCGGCCGCCCCCCCCCACGCCGGGCTCTCACAAGTCCTGGCTATGACACAATTCCTGTAATCCCCTCTTCCTCCTCCTCCCTCCGCCCCCCCCAGCCGCGGGGGAGCCCCGCTATCCGGGCCGGTCACTCCGCTCCCGGCCCTGGCCTCCCGAGCCCCGCAGGCTCCCTGCGGGGTCCGGCCGGACCCCACCCCGGCCCAGCCCACGCCCCCGGCCCGCCAGGTAACACCCCCCCGCCCCCCGGCCCGGTCCGGCCGGCATCCTCACCTTGCTCAGGACCCCGCAGAGCTCAACAGGCGGCCCGGACTCGGTCTCCGGATCCTCCTCCGAGCCCGACGAGTTCCAGCTCTGGTTATCCGACATGGAGGCGCGACAGCCGAGCAGAAGAGCGGCCCCCGCTGCCTGCGCTGCGCCCGCACAGGCGCCCAGCCCCCGAGAGGGAGGGTCCGGGGTCGGGACGCGGGTCCGCCCCGGCGCTGGGGGCAGGAGGAGATGGGACGGAGCCCGAGCGCCCGGGCGCCGCCGCGCTGCCGGGCACCGAGCGGACCGGGGAAGGAGAAGGAGCGGCGAAGGGAGCCTGCCCTTCCAGCTGTCGGCCGCCACCGCCGCCGTCACCCCTGTGCTCCGCCGGGCGCCGCCACCCGAGGCGCTCCCCGTTCTGTACCAATGTCGGGAGTAGAAGGGGTGGAAGGGAAAAGGTGAGGGGAGGGAGGAGAAAACGCAGCTGCAGGGACTGGGGTTCACTCACACCTCTGCTGCCGCCATCTTCCTGGCTCTAGACACTATTTACCCTCCCCCTTCTCTTTGCCCCTCCCCTTCAGCCCTCCCATTCTCCCCGCCCCCTCCTCGGACCGCCCATCAGCGTGTGACGCAAGACGCACGGCTCGAGACGGGGCGAGGGGCGGAGCCGCGGCTACCGCCGAGGCGGAGGGGCGGGTCTTAATCCCAGGCCACCTCCCGGCTTCGGGTAACTGGGAAGATGGGTGTAAGAGAGAAGGGTTGGCCGCACTGCATGTTGGGAGGTGTAGTGTTCCGCAGAGCGCGCGGCTCGCTGGGAGGTGTAGTTGCGGTTCTGAGGCCCTTTGGTGAGTGGGTCAGGCGGGGGGTGTCTCATTATACTGGGCGCAGGGGATGGGTATCCTTTCGCGGCCCCTGGATTCCATTGCCATACATACCCTCTTCTCAACCCCTGGCCCAGAGCGTTTGTGAAGAGCTGCCTGGCTGCCGGCTGGACCGGACTTGAGCTCCTTCCCGTAGACTCTGCAGAGGCCGAAGCACCCTAAGCCGCCCTTCGGGGGGCTCCAGGTGGTTATGCTGCTCCGCGCCCCAACTCCTTGGCGGCCGCAAGATGCCCAGAGAAGGCCCTGGGCTGCCTGACCCGATGTGTCCGGGTGTCTGTGCGCGTGCGCACCCCTGGGAGCCCTAACTTGCACCGCGGAGGATGCCCGGGCATGTAGGGATGCTGCAGGAACTAGATGACAGGGACAGGCGAGCAGGGTACCACTGGCGCTTTTTATCCTTGCGAAACCCCCCAATGAGCATCTCCAATAGGGTCATTTACTCTTCTCCTTTTTAGCTGCTTAGCACAGTTCCTTGCATCTTCTGGGCAGTTAATTTAAATTGAAATCAGACAGCCTTAGTTTTCTCTGTAAAATGGGTTGGGCAAGGTTAAAAGTTGAACTAGATGATAGTCTAGTTAGTTTCAAAACCCGATGATCTTAAGAGGTGAGTTCCCTTCTGCCTCTGGAGAGGGAGGAGAAGGAGTTGGCACCTTTCATTTTCTGCTGCATGTACGCTAACCAACAGTATAAAAGTACAAAGCTGGAATTAGGGCAGAGTGACTGGGCTAGGCTCCAGGGCCCTTGGCTTAAAAGAGTACCCCTTCTGAATCTAGAAATGACTGCCTTTAGCAAAGAACCTCGTTAGCAAGAATGATTGGTTATAAGTGGAAGCAAAACACAGATGGACTCCACACCATATCCCATCCCCTCCACGGACCCGCATGCCATACACACAAACACAGAGTAGGCCTTTTGTCCTAGGGTTCTCATTGCCCAAATATTTTATCCTAAAAGATATTCTATCTTATATCTTTTCCCAAAAAATTTAACTTATAAATTTGATTGGAAGGTGCATGTGATAACTGATTGACTTAAGCTGTGTTTTTTGTGAAGCATGGGAATTACTTGTTTTGGCTATCTCAAAACAGAAACCCCCTATCCTTAAACTCCTGAGGAAATGTGAAAATTTCTGGAATCCTTTGTTTGTGTGTGTGTCTGTGTGTGTTGTTTAAGCACCTTAATTAGCTGTATGACCATGGGCAAGATGTTATGAAATTTTATGAGAGTGATTTTTGTGCCTCTCATATCCCAGGATTTGTTTTGATTTCCTGACTTAAAAATCATGAGTTTTAAGTTATGTTTTCTTTTTGGTTAATACATGAGAGATACCTGTTTTATAGTAAAATCTTTAAGTTGTATTCATATAGTATGGAACTAAGTTCAAATTAGTATCATTATTAAAGTGAAAGCTTTTAAAAAATAAGCCTAGAGCACTAAAAGTCACAGATATCATTCAGAAAATAAGATGGAAGAACTCTTTCATCTTCATTGAATTACAAATCCAGAATGTTTTTCAAACTTAAGAGATATTGTAATCAGATTTTGTTTTAACTCCATATATACTGATGCTGTTACCAAGTTGGATTTTTAAAAACATATCTCATATTTAAAATTATGATTTCTTTTAAAATAGACAATGAATTATTGAGAAATTAATTTCATAATAGAGTTAATATTTATGGAAGCCTCATATATTTGTTTAAAATCTTATATTATATTACATTCTATGCATTTTAAGTTAATTATACCTTTGTAACTACCAGCAATTAGAGCTATTATAGTGCCTACTCACTCAGTGTTAAGTTACTTCATGTATTAAGATTAGAATTTTTTTAAAAGGTGCTTGCCACTTTGTTCCTCTATATAACTAAACTGTTAAAAAGTTTTCCAAGTACAAGACCTCTTTACAGTGATTTCAATACATTATAATGATGAACTATTTTATTACTGTTTTACTATCCCTTAAAGAAATTACAGTAGAATTATCTTTAATATGAATGTTATTTTTGTTCTACATAGACTTCCTATCTTATGTATTAAGGGAGAACCTACAGACAGTCTCCTATTTACTAACACCAATTCAGCAATATTTCTCTCATTATAGTCATCCCAGCTAAACATAACTACAGTACCACCCCTTCCTTTCTCTGTACCACCTCCTTCCCACTAATTGCTGCAGACCCTGTTTCAAATTTCCTCTGCTTCTCATCAGACTCTCATTGCATCTTCATGGCCCTGATTTTCTCTTCCTTGGGAGTAGTCACTCCCCAACAAACATCGCCTATCCCACACTAGGCAAAAGAGGAGGAAAGGAACAAATACTTTGAGTAGTGGGTCCTTTTTCCACTCTTCTCTCTCTCACTGAAACAGTTCTAGCTTCTCACTAAGAAGAAAATGACGTAAAACCATGACTTTTAAAAATACATTTTCTTGAGGCTTTCGGTTTTTATATCGCTGTCATTTTCTACCCCCACCCGCACCAGTTACATCCCCTTATGACAAAGAAAAACAATTTTACAGAGACTGAATCTGACAGTGTATAAGATTCAGGCCTAATATGAGATTCCTCTACCTCTTCCGTGAGCGAGAATTTGTCTTTCATTATCTCTTCTCCAGGACCTTGATGGGTTTTTCATTTAATTAGAATTTGACTTCTTATTGGTGGTATTTTCATTTTTATTAATCTTGTCATTGTGTACATTGTCCTCTTGATTATATATATTTTACCCTGGATCATTTCATACAAATTTTCCCACATTTCTCTGAATTCCACCTCTTTATCATTTCTTACTACACAGTAATATTCTATTATGTTCATGTGCCATAATTTTCGTAGTCATTGCTCAATTGAAGGATGACAGTTTCCAGTTTTTTGCTACCAGTATTTATGGCAGAGTGTTACTCTTAATATTTTTGCATGTATTAAATCTTTGATTCTCTCTTTGACTTCTTTGGGGTATATGGCTAGTAGTGGGATTGCAGGGTCAAAGATATAGACAGTTTAGTTACTCTTCTTAAATAATTCCAAATTAAAATCCAGAATGGTTGGCCCATGCCACAGCTCCACCATTTATCATTGGGCCTATCTTCTCATAGCCCTTTCAGTATGGACTAACTATTCCCATCTTTTCTCAAGGCAAAGCTATGTGTTCATGTGAAAGAACACATGTGGAGAACAGATATATGTACCTCTATATTTGAATGGGAAGCAATATATGTAATTGCGTTATATAGGGATTTGTAGAAATATTTATAGACATTTGCATGTATGTGTGTGCATATATTTCAAAAGGTAGAATGTTCGATTGTGTAAAACATGCTAGTGGATAAGCTATCTTTTTAATACTTGTTGGTTGCATAAAGATAAAAAGCTATTAGAAACTCACATCTGTGTGTCCTTGTACAAACTGTTAAAGAAGCTTCTTCTATAAATATATGTATAAATATTTGTATCTACAGAGGTGGACAATCATGTATGTATGTAGTCATATTTGAGGGGGTCCTACAACTATAACAGCTTACAGAAAAGCACTTGGTAAATCCTAAACCATCTCAGGCCCCTAGTTATCCCACCCCAGTCTCAGGTCATGGGAGCCACTCTCTGTGTCTTGGATATGAAAGAAGTCTCTGTTGTCAGGCTGTCATGTCCATAGAGGTAAGAAAGTTCCTGACTTACCAAAGTAGAAATAGAAACATACTTTCTCATTGAAACATAAATGGCAATTAGGTCCTATAACATTATTAGTACTGGATCAATAATAGATACATTATTGGTTAAATAAATAGAATTTTTTGCCAGCCTGAGAACTTATTACTGTGTATTTCATTGATTCTCTGGGAAAATACAAGGCCCAAACAACATACTTAGAAAGAACTGTTTGAATACAACCCGCTTGTGAACTTGGGACCACGTTATGTTAATTGCCTCATTAATCATAGAGAATTTTAGAAATAGAGGGAAACTTAGAGATCATGTAGTCTAACTTTCTCATTTTATAGGTGAAGAAACCAAGATCCAATGAGGTAAAGGGGTCTTGCCACCAAAGTTACACAAATAATAAGTGTCAGAGAGTGGCTTAAATTTAGATCTTCTAGGGGGCAGCTAGGTGGTACAGTGGTAGAGCGTTGGCCCTCAAGTCAGGAGGACCTGAGTTCAAGTCCGGCCTCAGACACATAATACCTAGCTATGTGACCCTGGGCAAGTCACTTAACCCCAATTGCCTCACAAAAAAAAAAAAATTAGATCTTCTGAATCAAAGTCTAGTATTCTTTCTGCTGAACAACCTGTGGTATATTCCCTTACTATTAAGTAGCATGTAATAAGAAAGACTTAACAGAGTTTAGGTAGAAGACTTATAAAGTACTTTGAAATGTGCTTTGAAAATTTGAAATGTATTTAAATTAGATGATTGGTCAAAATATATTATAAATTATATATATTTTAGACTAGATAACAATTGCGTCTGTAAAACAAAATCATCAATTTTCTCCAGTATAGCTTTTAAATAAGGAAAAAAGAAAAGACTTACTGTTGATCTTTTATTAATTACATATAATTATTAAAATTATACATTGTTTATTAATTCTATATTATAACACAATTGTGATATGTATATTATATAAAATGTATTGGTTATATAGAAGTTTATATTCAAAATTCATTAAAAGTATCATTTTTATTTTAAATGTAATTTTCTTATTTAACACTCAAAGCCTAAAATTTCCTATATTTTTAAGATTACAAAAAGAAGTTTTTATTTATTTATTTTTTTTTGTTGATCCACTGAGATCTTCTTTATTCAAATTCTGCCAGCCACTGAATTTGGGATCAGATTTAGAGTAGGAAGTGATGGGATGAGGTAATCCAGCCCCTTCCTTTACATGTGAAGACATCAAATCAATTTCAGTGCTAGTTCCACTGTATATCATATTACATTCTAGTCCAACCCCCATATTTTACAGGT